AATTGTGCGCAGAGGGAAAAAAAAAAAAAAAAAAAAAAAAAAGCAATAAACGACCTTTTCGGCAGGCCTTTCCCTTTATTGACGTCTCGACCAATGGGCAACCTGCGCCATGTGTACTTTACATTTACACATGCTTATTTTTCACGCGGAAGCGCCATGCGAAGAGTAATTCCCCTCCCTGGTTGCGCCGAATGAGCAGGAGAATCAGTCTGGTTGCATGAGCACACTGCCGTACGTATACACCCTACGCGTTACGCGTATCAGGCGCACTTGTTCACTGTCCCAGGGAATGATAAAAGATACGCACATCAGGGAAACTACCATCATGCCTTCCCAAAGCATTTTCACCCGCACGCACAAGAGTAAACATGCACACACATACAAGTAACGCATATATTCATTGTGTGCACATACGCCATTTCCCATGTGCAACACTTTGGTGTGACTCAATTCATTACACACTTGTTTCTTTATTTGCCCTCATACCGCCTTGTACACTTTCGCTAAATTATCCACACCATAAATATAAATGCTTGCGCCTATTCTCCCTCTCTCCTGGTGCACCAGTTTGTTAACTGCCGCTTGTACATCCCACTGAAGGTACTACACAACTGATTTTATATTCTCCCTTTTTGGAAAAAAAAAAAAAAAAAAAAAAAAAAAATAGCTAGCCAACCATGAGTTTGAGTCAGCTTATATCCTTTGGTAACAGCTCCGCAGCGCTGTTAAACAACATAATTAAGTCTAAATTAGGGTCACTATTTAAGCCTAACCCTAACCAGGAGTACCCGTTGCCCAGTATTCTTTCCTATTCTGGCTGTCTCATCCTAGTGTGCACGGCATATAAGTTATACGAAAAGGTAACCCAGTTGGTTCATATCAAATGAGGTGGTGTGGACATGGGAAGTCATGCTCATTTTTTTCTTTTCTTGTTATGTGCCATATGCGTTCGTTGTACAAAGTTGCAGTGACCGTGTTCCACCATCACATATGTGTATGTATATGTAAGCGTGTGTGTGCACGGAGATGTCTGCATAATTATATGTGCATATGTCCATCTAAGCACATCAATGTTCCCCCACCCTCCTGTTTCCACCCTTGCAAGTACTATGAAGGAAAAGAAGACAAGCTCGAATTAGCCGGTACCACGGTGTTCGATTCGCACACTGCTGATTGGGCTATGGAACAGAAAGTCCCGTATGGCCAAAATGATATGAGCAGTGACCAGAGTACAGCTGGGGGCAAAGAGCATGCCGGAGAAGAAGCCGATGAAGATGAGAACGAGGAAGACCTGGACGAAGAATTAGGGGACGAATTAGGGGATTATTATGAGGAACAGTATGGAGAAACGTATGGCGGAGAATATGGAGAAATGGTTGACCAGCCTTATGGGGAGGACTATGGTGGTGAATACGGCGATGAGTACGACGAAGAATACGTTGAGGACTACAACGATGAAGGCGATGAGGAGTTCAACGATGACACGCTCTCTGATGGAGACGACGAAGGGGTCATTCACCAGGACGATGAATGGGTATATCCAGAGGACCAACACTGAGGACTGCATTGTCAACCAAAGGACGAGGAAGTGCTAATCGATTAGTCAGTGGAGATATGAGGCAAGGTGTCACCCTGTCTCCATATTTCTATACATTTAGAAGTGCTCAACAATGCAATAGCAATTGGTTTTTGTTGTTTCTAAGTACCCTTTTGGGTAACCGTAACCCGTTGGCTACTTATTGTGTAGCACCATTTTTGTGCATTCCTTTCTTGAATTGCTCCATATGCATACCACGGGTGATTTATATAACCCTGAACAACAGTTCGATGAAGGTTTTCCCCCCGTTGGAATTTTGAATCGTTTTTTTTTTTTTTTTCCCTCTGCGCACAATTATTGGGGTGCTGAATTTACACCTTAAACGAAGTGGAAGACATAGGCTTCCCCATTTGTGCGTTTCTTGCGCAGTGGGTGGTGGCATGCCTGTCGGTTTGTGTCCCCCTACTGGCCCTTGTCACAGCTGTCGTGTGATATGCACAGGTATGTTTGTGTGGGGGAGATGCAAACATGGTAGTGGACGGGCAACCAAGCACGCAATGCCACATGTGTATGGGGGTAGACCATCTGATGATCATTAGCAAACGTTTAATCGTGGCCAGGCATCAACGCAAGAGGGTTGCATGGCCTGCCTATTGGCTGGTTCACCCCCGGAGCTACACTATGTTTATCTGTGTCCATAAAGAATAAAAGGCCTGCCCGTTGAAGACGCAACATGCAGGATGCAAAAAGTAAAGATAAGGGCGCACCCCTATTGTTATGCCATTATTAGGTGAGTATTCGCTGCGCAGGGAGAATGGGCATGCCGCGTTTCCACGTGTCGCCACCCCTGTGCTCATGTTATCCTGCTAAGAAACAATGTTATACTGTGGGCCCAATGGCGCATTGCGCATACGTGGAGTGTCTGCCACATGAGCATACATTTTATGTTACCCTGTGGTGAATTACCAGAGCATGATTACTAGTATAAGATTTATAAACGCACACGTCATTACGACAAAAGAGAACCATTTGTCGCACGTGGCCCCACCGTTACCAAAACACCTTGCTCTGTGCCCACTGTTACGAACATAAAAAAAATCGTTGAATAAGTGTGTCATGCATGTTAAGCTTATGAGAGTTGGAATAAACATGCACAAGGTCATATCACAAAGGTGTCATATTTAACCAAGAAGGCTTTGTAAAAAAAAAAAAAAAAAAAAAAAAAAAAAAAAAATTAAAATAATTGTGCATTCCTGCTATGGGTGAAATGCGCTGGAAAAAACTGTACTCTGCAATTGTGTGAGAGTACTTAAAATTGTGAACGACCTGGCGCGGGTTCATGGTGGTTGCAACTTTTTTTCAATTTGTTTGTCGAAGCGTACATGGCGCAACCGGTCATGCGATATTAACTTGCATGAGATGCTGGGCCGATGTGCCAAAGCGGAAAATTGGCCAACGGAGCACAGCACCTTTAAAGGCCGTACGCTTAGGGATATAATATTCGTACCAACGCGTACATGCGCTTGTAAGCCTTGGAGAGGAGCGGAGTAGGAAACTAACTCCTTGGCGTGGTTTATTTGCTGGTAATGTATGATGGATCCGCAAGTGCACAATTTAATATTACCCGTAAAAGTTGCATTGAAAATCAATTATGACTTTAGTTTAATGGATTAAGCCGCCTCGCAAGCGTGTTTTAACCTAGCTGTGCGATAAGGAACCACTTTAGCGCGACTAACCAAAGTCGGCGTACCTATATTAATAGAGTCTGAGCATTTCTCCCTACCCCTAGGTGACCTAATTATCGCGCAGTTTGCTCCAAAAATATATGTATATAAAATAATAATAATAAAAATGATTAAAATAAGAAAATACGAAAATGCGAGAATGGAATAAAAGAAGCAAAAAAAAAAAAAAAAAAGATAAAGAAAAAAAAAGAATAAAATAAAATAAGAAAATAGGAAAATAAGAATAAAAAAATAAAAAAATAAAATAATAAAATAAAAATACAACAATGGAATATTAATAAAAAAAAAAAAATAATAATAGTGGGGAAAAAAAATAATCGAATAAAAGAATGAGAAAAATAAAATACCAAATAACGAATATAATAATAAAAGAATAAAAAAAAAAATAATATAAAATAAAATAATCGAATAAAATAAAAGAATAATTAAAGAAATAGAACAAATTAAATGTAACTCCCAAAATACCTGTTTTTTGTGTTTTTTTATCCTCTGGCGTGTTTATCTCATGTTTCTGGCATTGTTTTCCAACTGGTAAAAGTTGACAATAGTTTTTCGTACTCATTTTTTCGTGTATTCTTTGTGCCCAGTTCTGTGTTATGTGTTTTTGCCCATTTTTGTGTTAGTTTTTCTTGGCTCTTTTTTGTGTTAGTTTTTCTTGGCTCTTTTTTGTGTTAGTTTTTCTTTGCCCATTTTTGTGTTAGTTTTTCTTTGCCTATTTTTGTGTTAGTTTGTGTGTTGCCCATTTCTGTGTTATTTTGTGTTTTTTGCCGATTACTGTGTTATTTTGTGTTTTTTGCCGATTACTGTGTTATTTTGTGTTTTTTGCCGATTACTGTGTTATTTTGTGTTTTTTGCCGACTACTGTGTTATTTTGTGTTTTTTGCCGACTACTGTGTTATTTTTTTTGCCGATTATTGTGTTATTTTTTTTTTTTTGGCCTATTCGTTGTGCCTATTTCCGTCACACCCCGTCGTATGCCACCTAACAGTTTGGTGTGGCAACTGGTCGTGTTCAAACAGTGGAAAACACTTTGTCACAGCGTGGTTTATGAACCCACAGGCCGCTATACCACGGCTGCACCACCGCTGCAGCACCTCTAACTCGCCAAAGGGGACTATGTAAACAGGGGGTAGTTGCACGCCGAACCACCACTTGGGGAACATGTTTAGGGATAACGATGGAGCAGGAGGAAACACAAATTTCCTTGGACCCCATATAGAGGGGGTTCATGCCCCCCCTGGAAGCGCGAACACCTTTGATTTATTTACGAAATATAAAGTGTTGACCCCGTGTGTTATTTTCTACTTCCTTGTGATATATCTCTTGAATGCTCTGCGTACTGGGTGCATGATGGTAAGAGACGGGACCTTTCGCCTGCGCATGGTGTACATGTGCACACGTAAATGTGGTGTGTGTATTTCCCCATACAATTATGTAATATTAATTTTTGTTTTTTGTTTTGTCCACCCCCCCCCGCTTGACAGCTCATCGAGAAAATATACAACGAGTTAATGAAACTGTACATGTCATTCATGAAAAAGGACAAAGACATGACCAACATGGGATACTACTTCGATGGAAACAGGTATGGAAACAAGTATGGTACCCAGCATTTAAATAGCAGCATGGACATGCGTATAAGCCCCATTATAAGCAACGAAAAGGACAGGTCACAGTATATGAGTAGAAAAAATGCAAACAGAGGACCTGTATTGTATGGCCTATTGGACGACGAACAAGGAGCAAACCTCCGCCTAAAAGGTGACTCCCTATACAAAAAAATAAACGTATTTGATAGTCAAATGAATAATGAGTTAGAAGAAGAATATGATGAGGATGAGTTCTCAGATGATGATTCAGAATATGATTTAGAAGATGATGACTACGAGGACGATTACCACCTCTTCGACGATGACGACGAGGATGACAAGTTGAATACCTACGAAGGACCCAACAGAAACATGCGTACAAGAGGGGAAAAAATGATAAAGGCAGAGCTACCAAAAGATGTAAACAAACCTGTAACAACAGATATACCAAATGAACTAAAAGAATTTCTGAAAAATGGAATGGACAAAAATGTATTCGACGAATGGTCGAATCATGTTAATTTGAAACCAATAGACACAACGCAGAACGGTAGCGAAAATACACAGCTGACACTCAACGAACAGATAGTCCAATCAATTCTAAAGGATGAGGTCGTCAATAGAGCGGAAGCAAACACGCAGTTAATAAATCTCAACGCGTGGAAAGATGTATCACAATTGAATAGCGAACTCAATGATGCGAAAAATAAGCATAAGGATAAAAAAAACGAACATGAGCAAAAAGCTACTGAAATGAGACAGCTCGAAGAAGAAATTAATGAAATCCAAAAACAAATTGAAAATGTGGAACAGAACAGGAACGTTCATGCTGACCCGAATGAAGAGTACAGACACCTGTTTTTTCTGTACCCACAAAATAAAATGGTCCACGAGGAAGAAAAAAAAGGACTCCTCATGGAGCTGCAACATAAATATAAAATCAAAGTGGAAGAAAAGCAAAATCTGCTTGACCACATGCATAAGGTGAAGAATGAAATGCAGCGCGCGGCCGACCAGGTGATCGTCCTGTGCGCAAGTATTATAGCCAAGGAGCAGGCAGAGAAACATAAGGAAAAAGTAAACCAGCCGTCTGGACAACAGCCGTCGCTGGAAACCAAAGCGGAAGAGCAGCTACCAAATATGTCGAACCTGTTAAACTCACCACAAGTACCGCCAACACCATCGCTAGCATCGCTACGGGCTCAACTGAAAGGAGCATGCCTTCCGGCGTGGGTAGAGGAATTGCCAGAGCAAGTCAAAATTAGTATTCTATCCGATTTGCAGCAAAAACTTGGAATGATGGATTCCAAAATAAACCCACAAGGAGAAAATATTGAACAACACCTGAACTATGCCTACTGATGGATAGTTGTTCCAAACGGCGTCTACGCGCCAAGCGTCACACGCCTTAATGGAAAACCTAATTCGATTCTGTTATGTGTGCACCCTTGAACTTTTGTTCCTATGAAAAAAAAAAAAAAAAAAAAAAAAAAAAAGTTGC